GGTTCGAACCATAAAATTTCCTACCTCATAGTTAATTTAACCACAAATATAGATTCTGATGTGGTGATAAAACATGGTTAATTAACAATGGAAACAAAAGCATCTGATAACATCAATGCTACACCAGAAAAGGGAGAGAGTACTAAACTAATGGGGGTTGCAGACTGCCAGAAATAGTGCAAATTGAATCCACTTTTAGGGTTAGTGTTAGTGTTAGGGAATCATGGGAATTGGTTTTGTTTTTTTCTGAGACATTGAGCCTTCTCTGTCAGAGAGCTCTGGTGCCACAATAAAATACAGTTCCCATGATTCCCTAACCCTAACTCTAAAAGTGGATTCAATTTGCACTATTTCTGGCAGTCTGCAACCCCCCCTAACACAAAGTGCATGCATGTACAGTACCTTGCAGAAGCTTCCCCGCTAATTTTACATATTTTGTTGTATTACAGCCTGGATTTGAAATGGATTTTGTTGATATTACAATTTCATGAACAATGCAGTCAACTCTCTCTATCCACAGCTCATTTATTTAGAGTATTTATACCCTAGTGTTCAGCCACAAAAGCTCTCAGAGTGGTTTACAAGTTGTTAATTTGACAGTTTCCTGCCCTCAGGCTTACTGTCTAAAAAGACATGACACAAAAGGAGAAGGGAAAGGGATTTGGGCATCCATGGGGGTCAGTCCTGGAACCAAGCCTCAGCATATACCAAGGGCCCACTGTACTTGATGTAATAAGATATTCAACATTTTTAAGGTGCAAAGCTGGTATCTTTGGGCCCTTGGTATCTGTTGGGTTTGGTTCCCGGATACCTGTGGTTACCAAAATCTGGATGCTCAAGTCCCATTAAATACAATGGTATAATGAAATGATGTCCCATATATAAAATAACAAAATCAATGTTTGCTTTTTGGAATTTGTATATTTTTTCATATTTTCAAAACTTGGATTTTTTAATCTGTTGATAAAGAACCTGTAGATAGGGAAGGTCAAATATATGTTAAATCCATTTCACTTATAACACATTAAAATGTAAAAAAGTAAAAGGTGAGGAAAATATATTGCAATGCTAAACTGTACTGCATGCCAGTATCAGTAGAAAATGCCAGGTGTGTTGCAAATTAGCTTTATGTCTGACTCTTAAATATTGAAACTATAAGTTTTTATTGTAAAAATAAGGGCATTTATTTTTTAAGCTTCTTGAGTAGCTGTGATTTTTTTTAAACAGAAATTCACATTTTATAGTACAGGTATATGTCAGTTAACAAAACCTCTGAGAGTGAAGCTCTTTTTTCTAAAGCTTTTAAAGCCTGCCAAGCAACTTCCTTTCTACTTTGCCTAGGTGGAATTTTTTTTTAACAGCATCAGCATTGGGAGGATGGTGAAGGAAGCCTGAAGAAACACAGTGGTGTTGAATTGGATCCATTTTTCTGCAGTAAATTGTTCAATAAAGCTTAAGCTGAGAAGTAATCGTATTCTGCTCTAGCCAATTGTACTGCAGCTGTGTGTGCCTGCCTACAACAGGCAAGGTAAACAGCAGCTGTTTCCAGAATCTCTTGCTGAGCAAGCACAAACAACTAAACAACTGTAAGCTTTTCTCACCAGCTAGCCTTTGGACATTAAAAATGCATACATATAGAGGCCCACCAAAATGAAAACTCTACAAAAAGTGGAGACTGTTGAAGGAAAATGTCATCCTTGGGTAAATTTTCGAAGAAGCCTTCAAAGGGTCTCCAAAGGCTCAAAATGCAAAGTTGTTTCTTTCACATTTTTTGGGGGAAGGGAAGTTTGCTGAAACGTGTCCAACTGTTCCTTTTTTGTGGCATAGGAACTTATCCCTATTCTTTGCGTGTTATTTCTGCCTCTGGTACCAAATTTCCTGTTAAAGAAACTATGCTTGGGAACACATCTAGTTCTTTATTAAGGTATACCTGTATAACTAAATGGTGGTTTGTAATTGCTGAATCTTCTGACATGCTATTCTAGATCCTTATCTGAAGCTATGTCTGTGGAAAAGATTGCTGCAATCAAAGCCAAAATCATGGCCAAGAAAAGGTCCACAATTAAGACTGATTTGGATGATGACATAACTGCTCTTAAACAGCGAAGTTTTGTTGATGCGGAGGTTGATGTAACAAGAGATATTGTCAGCAGAGAAAGGGTGTGGAGGACAAGAACTACTATCTTACAAAGCACCGGCAAAGTAAGATCTTATTTTATCAGATTTCTGTCTAACTACTAAGTACATTTTAGAGTTTGAGAAGAGCAGTTCCAGGGTACTGTGCTAACCATACAAAAAGCAAATCCTATACATGTTTACTGGAAAGTAAATCCTGATAAGCTTATTGCAGTTTATATCACTTAAATCAGGGGTAGGCAACATTTCCCCTTTAAGGGCCAAGGGACTTCAGCTCCCAGAAGCCTCAGCCATGTTGGCCAATAGTCCCATGTTGGCCAATAGCTCCCGGGATTCTGGGAGCTGAAGTCCCTTGGCCCTTAAAGGGGAAAAGTTGCCTACCCCTGACTTAAATGCACACAAGGTTACAGCCTTGTCAGCTTTCTATATTCACCAGTATGTAGCTTAATGTTCTGACTTAGAGACAGTTGTACCTTTTGACTTAGCAGGGGTTGGACTACATGGCTTTTGTGGTCCCTTCCAATTCTAAAATTCTGATTCTAAGTACTCATATAGGTTGGAACTGCCCCCAATTTGATACACGGAAATCTTCCAGCAAAGTTACAAAATTTTCTGTGTTAGGCATTGTGAGGTGCAATTTGAGTTTCCCAGGATGTTAACCCTTTTAAAGGGAAACAAAAATATGGAGATATGGAAGTTAAACTCGTTAGAGGTCAGCTTTCATCAGCAGAACAACGAAAATGATTTTAATAAATATTTATACAACATAACTAAAACCTAATCTAACTGGAGATGGTTTGGGTATAGAGAAGAAATGTCATCATCTTTAATATAGATAGCAGGAAGATGGAACAACAACTACTGCTTACTGACTGCTTCAGTTACTAGCAGTTTAGAATCTTGGGAGAAAGCTGTTAAACTGCCTCCAAGAGTGCCAGGAGTCACATAGTAGAATTAGAGAGAGGGAGGAAGTCCCTATCTATATAATGAGGGACACATAGTATACTTCCCCTGTCAGGATGAAACTATGGCTGCTTGGATCCCAGACATGCTTGCTACTGTAGAGGAGAGTGACCATTCAGATGTAATTCTTTTTGACTTTGCCATCTACATTTAATCTCCATTGGTAACAATCACTGGTAATATATACCAGGAAGAATTTGTTCACACATTGACAGAAGAGGGGAACTCTTCAAACTTAAGCTCCAACCAAAAAATCATCCACAGAAGTGGATAATAATGTATTAAATTTGTTATTACCAATCTGAAGGCTTTACAGTAGGAAATGCATATGAAAACATATGCCAAATAGCAACTGCATTTGGTGAAAGCAGATATTTATTGACTTACAAAACCTAGGAAGTATGAAAATAGGAAGAAATATTTCCTGTTCCTATTTCATTGTACATGGTTTATTAGTTTTTCATACTTGTTTTGCTAACTTCTGCTCATAAGTGCCTCCGAATATTGCGTCTGTGGACTTGGGATCAAGATTTTGTCATCTCTTTCACTAATTTGTTGTTCTGATGTCCTTGAAAATGGCAATTTATCCCTTACAGCTAGTGCTTCAACTTTCTTTCTTTTATCCGGAACGAAGTCTTCATGCCTTCATGTATGTTTAGGCATTAGTATTGGGCTGGAAGAGGCTAAGAGTGCCCTATGGCTGACTTGGAAGATCTCTTTTGTAATTACTTTAGACAGCTTTGGCATTATTTGTGTTCTTACCCTTGAATAGTAAGCTGCTATTCATGGACTAAAACACTTCAAATGACCTTTAATGAATGGGAATTTTTGTATGTGTTGGATAATTTGACCTTGTTTCCATTGCAGTGTCTGAGAGTGATGTTACTTTCTCAGAGTCCTTCATTGTCAAAACATTTTCTATACTAGCTAATAATGAAAGAAACCTGAATTCTCAGAAGGTCATCCTTACATTAAAGATGTTGTGTTGCCTTTTAAGATTCCAGACTGCCTTTATGTTTGCTTTGCTATATCTATGTCCCTGTGGTCTAATAAATATGAAAAGAAGAATCTCATTTCTTCTGCTGACTGTTTTCCCTGAGAGCACTAGGTGGTGGTCTTGTTCCATTAAATCTTCATGCTGAAGAATTAATCTGATATATTATGCAAGAGAATCAACATGGATTTAAAATGCTGTCCTTCCTGTTTGCTTATTCAGACTAAAGATTTCAATAATTTTTAAAGCTGTCCAACATTATAAATTAGGAATGCTTAAAGCAATTTAGAACACCAGGAAAAAAGACCAATTTAAATAATTGATTTATATTGAGTTTCCCATTCTGTAATTTATACATTTCCTGAACAAGAGTGCTTAATGGTTGGTTGCTGAAACAATGAATGTCCTAATTCTTGTTGTTCGTCTCCTCTAGATTAGGTGCCCAGGATCAATGGGAACTTGGTAAATCAACACTTACATAAGTTTCACTGATTGATTGAATCTCTGTTGAGACTAAATAGCATTTAGATCAATGAAAATGTATCAATTCTGGAATAGATTGTTTTTGTTCCATCTGTGAGTGTCACTTCAGGCCAGAGTCTTCAAATTCTGATTGCTCATTTACAACGTCTCCAACTTTTTGTGTAATATTATCTGGGGCTAAAGGGGTTACTGTGAGGATCAGAGGCTGGGGAAGCCTGCTTTCATTAGTCCTGTTGCTTAACCAAAGCTGTGGTAATGCTGACTTCATTTCTGATGTTACTGTTGTGTGCCTTTAAGTCATTCCTGACCCTAAGGGGACCCTGTTATAGGGTTTTCCTGGAAAGTTTCTTCAGAGGGGTTTGCCATTGCCATCCTCTGCATCTGAGAGTGTGTGACTGGCCCAAGGTCACCCAATGGATTTTCATGACCAAACTGGGATTTGAACCCTGGTCTCCAGAGTCATAATCCAGTGCACAAACCTCTACACCAAGCTGGTTTCTAATGGCTGATTTAATGTTCTTAACAACGACCCTCTACCTTTCAAAACGCTTGCTTAAAACTGGCAGTTTCCCAAGAGATAAGAGATTGCATTTCTAGTTCTAGTTCTTTAATATCATGAATGTGATAACTGTTTGAAACTTTAGAATCTGTTCAGATCTAAACAGTGATTGGAAAGTTTGCAGCCAAAACTAAAGAAGAAATGCAGCTCTGCTCATTGTGCCCTTTTGCCCCTTATTTTTCTTTGGAATCTCTCCTAGCTCCAATTAGAAATGGTAAGATAATTGGAGCTTGCCCCACTTCCAGTGCTCTTTCAAAGTGATTTCCTACCTTCCTTCATCTCCACACACTTGGGCTAATCACCCAGACAACTTTCAAGAAAGCCTGTATTTTGTAATTTATCTGTTCAATAGCTTGAGTCAGACAGGAGGAGAAGGAGGGGACAGTTGCCCAGAACAAGGAGTGGCAGTTGCCATAGCATTCCTAGAAGGTGCTCAGGCAGAATCTTTGCTGCCCATGGATAACTTTTGCAAAACAATATGTAGAGAGATCTTGGAGCACCTTTGAGACTAACTGAAAGAAAGAAGTTGGCAGCATGATCTTTCGTAGACTCACAAACTCACTGACATTGGAGTCACTGGAATGTATCCCAAGTTTTACTTTGAACTTTTACCACTTCTCCACCTTTCTTTGTCGCCAGCTGTTGAGAAAGAGGGGGGAAGGGATCTCCCACTATTGCCAGATGCAGAAAGCACTGAATGAAGTGAGCCAAGCTGAAACTTCTGTTCCCTCCACCACCACATCAAAGACCCTATAGCTAGCCCAGGTGGTAATGTCACGCAACCAGCACCTCTGACTGGACTCTGCAGTGAATATACAGATTCTGGATAGACTTAAGAACGGTCGAAAGAGCAAGTAGTCAAAAACGAAATGCTGAAAAGTTTGGGATGCCTGTAATGGAGGAGGACACATATAGTAACTCATTTCTTTAACTTGGAAACAGAGGAAGTGGGTTATAAAATGCATATACCTTTTGCAGATGTTAACTAAACATTAGGAAAACTAAGATATATAAGGAAAAAACAATTCCTTTTTCTTAAAACCCACAAAGATACATCACCCAGCTCAAAGCTTCAAAAAGTTACTAATTGGCTGTCAGAATCCTATAGTCAGGGATTGTCTGTTTATGTCAGTGGAGGCTTTATTCTAAAAAAAGGTAACATTTCCATGCTTTGATCCCGCTATACATGCTGCTGCCTGTGCAAGTGAAGCTCAGAAAGTATGCTTCTGTGAGGAGACAAAGAAACTTGTTTTAGAACAGTCTTGGTGCTGCCATGCAGCTGTAATTTTTTTAGAAGAAGGCCTAAAAGGGCAGAGATTGCTGCTCTGTGATTCCCTTCTTCCCATTCTGCCATCTAGAAAATATATCTTCTCCCCCCAATATTTGTACCATATTTTCCTTGTAGACTAATGTTGTTCATTTAATTTGATAATGGATCGTTTTTAGAAACATGATTCAAAGCCCTACCATTTGTAAATATTAGCATCTATATTGGTACAACTGGAAAATAGTGAGTTCCATATTATTTTTTCAGTCCCTCTGTGCCCTACTCATTGCTGTATTAACATATAAGTTTTTAAGAAAACAAACATACTTACCAGAATGTAAAGTCTGTTGAAACCCCCCCCCTAAAGTTACATTTGTGATAAATAAGCTTAGAATTGTCCTGTTACAGTAAATATTAAGGTGTAATAATTCTGTTTTAACATCAAGCTACATTGCATGTGAGTGAAGAGGAAGAAACACATTAACAGCATTTATGCACTGTTGTTTTCCTGGCTTTCTTGGGTACATCAAAGTGCTTGTTTTCATTTAAAACCGCTTAATTAATTGGACTTCTGTTCCACATTGAGGACTTCAAATGGATTGTATGTAATATTCTTTTAATATAAAAATACTAGTAGAGTAAAATGTGATAATGCAAACTAAATGAGGCATGAAATTTGTTCTGCAGAACATAATCTAACAGTTTTAGTGCCAGGTCCTGTGTTTTTGCAGTAGACTGCATTCTGGAAAAAAAATCTATTAGGAAGAGTCTTCAGCAAGACAGCTATTATTGGAAAGGACTGTTCTTCTGAAACTTTGTCGACTCATATGAAGATTGACTCAAATCTATGGATAGCATTCCCCCTTTCTTCATTTGATTATGCTTAAATGTAGATTTTATTTAAGCAAGTAAAATTCTTAAAACAACTTTGTGAAATTTGTATGAGAAATAATGATTGACTAAGTTTGAAGGAATCAAAAGGCATATTTCTTTTCAATTTTTTTTTGTTTTGGTCTGGTAAATTGTTTTTTGAATGATTGACTTCAGGAGGTGAAGGATAAACACTGTGGAATAAAGATGCAGCATTTCCTTGTTCCAACTTGGCCTCTATAATCATTCCATATCAGTTGCCAGTTATGGACCACTTTTTGTCTAATTCTTAAAAAAATCCCACTATGGTGATGGTGGTACAGAACATATTGTTTGTCCATGTTCCAAATAAATACTTGTTCAAAGAATTATGAATTCCATACTAAAAGAGCATATAATGAACCACAAATCACAAGTAGATTGAAAAACCTGGAATGGATTAGATTTGAAGCCACAACAAAGACTTGCTCAGAGAGTAGGGGGATCTATGCTTTTATTTTACTCAAAATGAATAATATAAGTTGTAGAATAACTGATTGGCATACCCCAAAATGAATATACTCCTTTAGTTAGATCTTAGTGTCTCAAGTAAAAAAAGACTATTTAATATGTCTGCCTTCTGAACTCTAAAGTAATGCACATTATACAGGTTTTCATGTGTTTCTGTAAAATTAGCTTCTGTTATGACCAAGCAACATAACCAAGATTGGATATATTGTGGTTCAGCACCAGTAAATATGGTATTGGACACAGGCATCAGTTTCCTGTGTACCTGATTTATGGAGATGTGTATTGATACTTTGGTAGTTTTGAATGATATAAATGAGTTGCCAAAGTGTGTATAATGCATGTTCATCTTTTTTCTATGTAAAATTGGGCATCCCAGCATAAATAGAACTGAACTTGAAATGTATTGGCATGATTTCTAGTCCTCAAATATTGACTCTTCTGAAGTTCACATTTGTTGTCTTGGCATTAACATATAACAGAAAGCTGGGTCCCAGGGTTTATTTTGTAGCACATGAATATATGGCAGATTTAGCATAACTTAAAAAGTTTTACTGCCACCCCTTAAGGCTAGATTGTTAGAGTCTGGCTCTGTTATATTAACTGCGGGCAATCAGCATACCCAATACAGATCTAAATGGATCCATCTGACTTGGTGTAAGACAGCTTTCTATGTTCATATGGTACAATTAATTGTTTTGGATCAAAATTGGGAGTGTACTTCAACTAACAGTTGGCTTCCAGGCCAATGTAAGTACATTGATCAAGTATACTTTATTACGATCGTTCATGTTCTTACTTTATTTATAATATTTTAATACATCCTTCCTCCATGGAGAAATGTGGAGTCAAAGAATCAAACACAGCCTAATCAAACACTGTAACTTGCACTCCAGTTCCTCTCAAGATTGCCTTTCATGCAGGCTTTGCTTAGCTTTATATAGGCTTGGAATAGAACTATGGCTTAAATATATTTGTTATTGCCAATTAGAGTAGACCCATTGAATCAGTGAGATTTAGAGCATTATTGATTTCCTTTTCAGTAAATGATTCAGTGGGTCCACTGTATTTGGGACTAGCAATTGAATCATGTCCAATATATTATAGGATTCTCTCAGAATGGTTAAATGTGGATTAAAGAATTCTGGCACATCTCCTTCCTTTCCCTTGGGATATCACTGTCCATGCATAAGAAGAGTTAGGATTGCAGTGTTACACAGACTCCAAAGGGAGAAAGAATAGGCAGTGTCCAGCTTGGTAATTTAGCTTTTGAAAGCATTGTACAAAACTAATTGTTTTATGTAAGATGATATGTCTTGGCCATCTGTTGCAATATATGTGTGTATTACTACTGATCATCACCTCTTTCTAGGTCTAATTGTCTGGAGCAGATGCTTCTTTTTTGCATGTAAAAATGTCCAGGCATAACAGATGGATATTTGTAGTGTATGTGTGATGTTCCTACAGTAGTGCATTCAGCTGAACAAATGCAGATAGTAGCTTCTTAGCCTGCAGGCAGTGGAGCACATGTTGGCCTACCACGTACTTCTAAAGTCATGCAGAGTTTGAGTTTCCTTAATTTCAACCATTCAGAAACACTGCATGACCAAATCTTGTTTTAATAAGCCAGGATATGTATGAGCTTTGTGCATCTACACTCCTGTTTCCTTAGGTGGGTGGGCAAGCAAGCTACAAAGAAAAATATAACTCCAGATCACTGTTGTATCTGAACAAAGAAATTAATGGTAAATGTCTTTCAAACAAGCCTAAACATGAAGCCATAATTGGAAGCTATGTTTTGAAGCAAGGTTTGTTTGGAAACCATTTATCATCATTTTTGCACCCAACTTTCTGTTGGAAATTATGGGTAATTTTAGCTTCCTGGATTCATTCTTCATTCTTGTAAAAAAGGAGTGAAGCCAGTAACAAAGAATTTTAGGTACATGAAACCTGTGTATATTTTTGTTTATTAAGACAGGATTTCATCTTCAAAATAATGGCTTATAAATATTAAAGACAGATTGTCTTCCACATGGTTTAAATCAGGGTTTCCCAACCTGGGGTGACCATACCCCCAGGGGGTGCAAAACAGAATTTCAGGCGATGTGACAAAGATACTATTTTACAATTTTACTGAATAAATTAGAATCTAACTGCTCAATTTAGGTTTGCATTTTATGCATTGAGTTAAAAACTTGTTTTTTTATTTCAGTTTCTTCACTTGCAGTATTGTATGCTGTCCAGTTTGTGTTTCAAAAATCAGAAATTAGACTACTTCATCTTCAAATATTATA